TTAACGCAAGCTACTATTCGGTAATAGTTACCAAATTCCCCTAATTAATATCATCTTTTCGATCGGTAGAATACTCTACACAATTTACGTTTACGTTTCATATAATTCCAAGTGATAATTAATCACAAGCGAACAATCTGTCTTTCAGGTGAATCAATGATTGAGTAACTATTACCGAATGCCCATTTGGCTGAACCATAACCGCATATTGAATTGCTCTCAATTGAACAGCGCCATTCAACAACAGATCCTGAACCTCGTCAACATCAACCTAATTCTTCAATTATTGCCCGAAACGCCAGTTGCCAACCAATGAGATGATCATAAAAGAACTAACTTGGTAATTTGAGAACAACGCCATCACTGGCTGAGCGAAACTCCCAGAGAATATCGGGAACGGGGAATCCCTTGGCTTCACAATTGAGTGCGACTCGTTGACCGAGGGGAGTAGCAGTATCCATCAGCGGTGAGAAAATCCACGGACGACTGGGACATGGCCCTAGGTGTTTTAGCTTGAGTGAAGCTTTTCTAAGCCGCATCGCTTCCTCATGAAGAGCACAGGGTGTGGAATAAGTCTCATTGTTGCTGCCACATGCCGGACTCTGCTCCATACACACGCAAATTGCCTCCGGCTCATCCTAAATCATATGTAAATTCATCAACCGCTCCAGCATGATAATCCAGAGGTGTTCGATGAATTGTAAACGCGAAAGTAGGGAACAGTGGGTTGGGAAAGCTGAGGCAGATGTATTACAATCAATATAACGTCTGATTGCTTGATTGCTGTGCATTTAACACTCGGCACTGCCTACATGCCTCTTCATGACAGGTCAGCGACACTCGCTATTATCTCGTCAACTATTCTAACACGGTGTAATTATAGCTATTCTACAGCCAGAGAAATTACCCGGATGAAATGCTTCTGGAGAAACGTTGGATTTTACAGAAATAGAAAGAAATCTGTAAATACGAAAAATTGGATTGATGAATATTTCTGCAGGAATTAGTCTGGCGCATCTTTTCGACCCGCTAGCTACTTTGCGTACCATTGAATCTAATTAAATCTAATTATATCTAATTAAATCTCATCGGTTTGATGATTCTAATAAAATCGAATACTAGACATTTTTTCTAAAGCTAGAGATGAACGCGCGCTGCCCGCACGTATTGTTACTTTTCTGGTGCTACTACATGAGTTTCCATTTCATTTTTCAACGATAGATATATAAGAATCGGAATTCAAACATTCAGATTCAGACTTT